CCCTTCCAGGGAAGTAAAGGACCCGGCCTGTGGGGTTGCTGCCTGCACAGGCCTCTCACCTGTCCTCCATCCTCCACTTCCTGCTCAGTGCACTTTGCAAGCCTCTCCTTTGCTTGTCAGTTGCCTTTGGGGGGAAATTGGAGAAAGAGCACCATCGTCTGGCCAAGGCCGGGGAGGAAGCTAGTTGGTGCATGCAGTCTCCGACATGACTCTGCCTAAAAATGGGTCTTCAGAGCCATCAAGGATGAAAGAGTTTCTGAAGTGGGCCTGTGTACACCCAAAGCTATTTTCTATAAAAATTTATTCTATGGAGAAAACCAAGGGGCCCTTTTTCTCCTTTAGAAAGAACTCTTGTTAGAACCAAGAGCTAGTCCAGGGTCACATTTGTTTGTCTGAGGAAAATAAATTGAGCTAAAAGAGCCGTGGTGTCACGGGAACCACCGTAACGACATGTGTCTCTGCTCTGTGTGGGTCCCGGTGGTGGTGGAGGCTGGGCTGGGCCACATCCACACTCAGCCCAGCCCCTTGAGAACTGGAGAGGCCGGGAGCCAATGGGCCATCAGATCTAGCCATGATTTATTTTAAAATACATCCTGAATTCAGAGCATATGTATACCAGCAAGGCACATCTGCACATGCAGGCATGTACACACATGCACATGCACCTGTGTGCCCACACATGCACATGAACAGCATGCATAGGAGTGGAATTTGTGATGCAGGAGATGAAACCAAAGGGCCCTGCTGCCACTTGGTATTAAGTATGGGGGGGGGGGCTTGGTCAGTTCTGCCTCGCTGTGTGCCTGATCCTGTGTGGACACAAATGTCCATGAGTAGAAATGACTGGCTGTGGACATCACCCCTGAACCCCCACAGATATCTGGGACACCCAGGCGATGGGCCAAGCCCACCTGCTTCTCTGGCCCAGATCCCACCTCTGCTTTGACTGCTGGGTGGACTTGGTGTGTAGGAATCAGCCCCTGGCCACCTGACGTGATGAGAAGTGTGTGCCAGAATGCACACACACATGTGCCCATGCATATACATACCTGAACACACACATACCTTCACAAAGGCATATGCATACATGTGCATACCCATGCACACAAACCCATGTAGGCACACAGTGCACACACACACCTATACATACACATGCACTCTGTGCATATATATACACACATACCTACACATATACACGTGCACCAACACGTGCGCACAAACACACACAGGTGTGCACATGTATGTACAGGCATACCCCAATGAGTAGGGGCAAAGCTTAGTGGTCATTGAAGCACCAGCCTATTAGGGAAAGGGGTGAAATCACAAGACTATGCTCTGGAATCATTCTTCTCACGTCTCTCCCGTTATAAAGCCTGAGAACACCAGGGTCCAGGTGACCCGTAGGCGGTGGGATTTGTGGAAAGAAAAGCTCCTCTTAAAGAAAGTGCTCCCCGAATGCCAAATTAATCAGCTTGTCCTGTGACATCTCAGAGGAGTTAGTGATGTCACTTGATCTGGGCTCTAGCTCCATCAGGGAGCGGGGCGAACATTACACCCATAGGCACTTTATTCCAGGGGACAGGTGGTGTGGAAAGTGGGCAGAAAGTGTGACCTGTGGGGGCATTGGGTGGTATTTTCAGTCCCTCCTCCCAGGGAGGGCCCTGCCTATAGCCGGAGGGCACCCCAGCGGGGTGGAGTGGAGCCTGACCCCCTAAAATGAGAATGCGGAGTTCGGTGAGGCCCTCAAACTGCCTTCTGGAAGGGTGTGTCTGGCAGAACGGTGTGTGAGCCTGGCCAGAGATGATGGCTTCGTCCAGGAGAAGGGGGACCCAGTGCTGTCCCAGGTCTGTCCCCATCTTCTCTGCAGGCCCAGAGTGTGAGGTGAGCCTTGGGAGTCACAGGCAGGGATTCCGGGGACCCCAGAGCACTCTGAACCAGGAGGTGTGTGCAGGAGCCTGGGGGTGTCCTTAGAGACCTGAAACAGGAGCTGGGATGGGGGAGAGGACAGCTGGCTCTCGTTAGGTGTGTCCAGCCTGTTTGCAAAACCACTGTATACTTTAAGCCCCCACCACGGAGGGCCAGGAGCCCAGGAGCCAGACTTCAAAGGACTCGGTGCTGTCTGTCCCAGCAGATGCAGAGCTGGGTGCCCCTTTGCCCTGCTGTCTGTGCCGGTGCCGCACACCTGCATGCAGCTTCATGCAGCTTCTCCCGGGTCCTCAGGCACTATTCCTGACCAGCGCGCCTCCAGAACATCCCCACAGCCTTTTACACCGGCTCGCTTTCTGGTAAAGATCTGACAATGTCTCTACGCGGTCAGTCCCCTGCCCAGGACTTTGCAAGAAGCCTGACCCCCGGGGCCAGCCCAGGGCCGTCGGATGAGCCTCCACACTTACCCACAGTGGGGAGGAGGCCGCTGCCTCCAGGGACCCTGCCGCCCGGACATGACGCAGGAGCTGCATCTCAGGAAGACGGCGGAGCAGGTGTGCATTACTGACCATTCCCTGCTCACACCCTCTCCTGCTGCTTCCAACCATGAAATAGTGGCGGTGGCCCAGCGGCAGCGCCCCCTTGAGCAGGGGCAGGTTTGGTGTGGAAGGAGATGTGCCCACCTCTCCGGCCGCACCTGACTCTGGGTTGGGAGGGTGCCCTGCCTTAGGGTGTGTGAGGTTCCGTGTCCAGAACGTACCTCCCCAGCCCCTCCTGGTCTGTTTCTCCAGGACACAGAGCTCCTGAAACCCTGGGAAGTTCCTAAGCCGTAAGAGCACAAGGAGCCTCTTTTGTTCTGATGAGGTGACTGTGGGTGGGCTCCTGGGTGGCTCCTGGAGGAGGGCTGGTCACCAGAAAGACCAAACTGTGACTAGATATAAGCTTGGAACTCTCAGCCCCTCCCCATTCCTCAGATGAGGGGAAGGAGCTGGGTGGAGATGGAGGTGATGCTCCACCATGCCTATGGAGGGAGCCTCCACGGAACCCCGATAGCACGGCGTTCGGGAAGCTCCCGGGTATCAGGAGGGTAAGGCTCCCTGGGCTGAGGGTTGCCGTTAGTTCCACCAGAACCATGCCAGCCCAGCTCTACAGCTGTCGGTCGCCTTTGGTCTGAGCGCCTGGCCCGTCCTGCCAGGACCCCTTGGGCTGGCTGACCCTTCGAGGGAGCCTTTAGGTGCCACCAGAGCTGGGCTGAGGCCTGTGGGCAGCTTGGCCAGGGCAGCCCCAGCCCCCTCAGAGCCGCGGCCCTCACACATGGCTCCCACCTTCCCTGAAAGGGCTTTCTATTAATAACCGTTAAGTACTCTGAACGCTCGAAAGGAAGTATTTATTACGTGTGTCCTGAGCCAGCCAAGTCCCGAGGCAGCGTATTAAACATTGAACATCGAAATAATAAATGAATCATTGATTTTCAGACACCCGGCCATGGATGCATCTGTTCTAGGCTGTTGGGCAACCATGGGTGCCCCTCTTGGGTGGGGGCTGGGCAGCGTGCATGGGCAGTGGGACCACAGCGGTCTCTGAGCAAGGACTCGGGTGCAGGTGGTCTGTTTGCCGGTGGACCCAGAGGTGGGAGTGAGGTGGGGAGGGTGAGGAGGGAGGGGCAAGGAGCCACAACAGTGCCTGTCATTGCTGGTTACCTCTGAGGGCTTAACCCCTCTCAGAAGCCGCTGTGATGCGCTCTGAGCAAGGGGAGGTTGGCACACTTATCCACCCACTCGGTGCGGAAGGACCTGGTGGTGCCCGTGCCCAGTACTTTCTGCTCAGCCTGCTCTGGGCCTGAGGCAGGAAAGTGGGGCCCTGAAGGTCCTGGAGTGGCACCTTACAGTGCCTGGGCCGCCCCACTGCAGTGAAATCAGAACTGAGGGCCTGTGGCCTGGGCACCCAGCATGGCTGTGGGGTCTGTGTGCACCACGCAGGCCACTGTGACAGGACAATTTACATGGTGCTGCTCAGGTAGGAAGAGACGCATGGAAATCTGGGTTAGCTGACTCCATCCTTCCCGCCTACTCCAGTGAGGTTTGGTGCCCTTGGAGGTTGGCATTTTGGGCAGCCAGCCCTT